ATACTGAGGCATAAAGCTTGTGGCTTAAAGAATCATGCACCTGTATGGTGCCAGTTCTGAGTAGCACACGGCTGAGAACTATACATGTGAAAGTCCTGAGCTGATTAGGAAAGCATATAAGGAGAAAATTAGAAAAGTACTTATGGGAAGATCACTGTGTTCATCTTGGCCTTTACTGAGGTAGGTGGATGAAGCAGCTTCCATCTTAAAGTATCCCCAAAGTTAACTTGGATAGATAATATCCATTGCTCTATCTTATTTGTCTTTTCTCTATCAACTGACATGGAACGCTTTGAAGACATGGTCTACTGTTGACCTGGTTGTATCCTCCATTACAGCTAAAATGTAAAGTAAAACACATATGTCTTTTCTGGGCTGCATATCCAGGTTGGTGTTAGTAAAGAAAGTAATGCAACAGCCCAGAAAGCCCTGTAGGGGTCCATCCTAGAGTTTGGCTGCAGATGGACAGGCATTAACCAGATGGGTATAGTTCTATCCTTAGGTTCATTTCCATAGCCAGAGAGAAACAGAAGCTCCTGTCCTACCAAGGCTTTCAGAGCCACTGTAAAGAACAAGTAAACATTTTCCATACTCATATTTTTGTTTCTTTTCTTGATTGCCTAGTTTTCATTTGAGCTGCCTCCTAAGACTGCGTTATCAACCTGCAAGTAATAATGTAATGGTGAATCAAGTCAGCAGAATCTGACAAATACTAAAAAGAGAAATAGAGCAAAGAAGAGAATAGAAGAAGGTATTATAGAGAATATCAAAGTATATCTCTGATAAGGAGGTACACTTAGTTCCTTAACAGAGATAAGTGTTTGGTTCATTTTTCCAAGGCTGAGAATGTAAAATATATTCCTCACTGTCAGTCTTCAAAAGAGGTTGTCAAAAATAATTTCTTCTTTTCTGTGAAAGAGTACTATAAATAGCTTCAATAGTGAGATCAGTATGTCTTGGACTCATTATCCACCCACCTCTTTTCCTTGGAGTGCTAGGATTACTGTGTGTTCCATCATGCCTGGTCCCCTAACTTCTTTTATTCAACATGCAATCATTGCTTTGGATACTATGTTAGTTTCTCACCACTGCTATTACAAATGACCACAAACTTAGTGACAAACAATTCAAATTTATGATCTTACAGCTGTTCAGGTAAAAGTCTGAAATAGGTCTCCCTGTGCTAAAATCAAGGCATGTGTTTCTTTTTGGAGACACCAGGAGAGAATCTGTTCCTTTTACCCTTGTAACTTCTATAGACCACTTGCTTTCCTTGACTTGTGGCCTATTCCTTCGATCTTCAAAGCAAACAGCCTTGTATCTAACTGGCCATACTTCATTAATCACATCCTTCTCTGACTGTAAGCTAGGAAAGTCTCTCTACTTGTAACTATCTACACACTTAGTTTGGGTTTTCTCAGAAAATCCATAATGCCGGGCTCCGGGGGCTCATACCTGTAATCCTAGCTACTCAGGAGGCTGAGATCTGAGGATCCTGATTCAAAGCCAGCCCAGGCAAGAAAGACCATGAGACTCTTATCTCCAATAAACCATCAGAAAGCTGGAAGTGGAGCTGTGGTTCAAGTGGTAGAGTGTTTGCTTTGAGCTGAAGAGCTGAGGGACAGCGCCCAGGCCCAGAGTTCAAGCCCCATGACCAAAAAAAAAAAAGAAAGAAAGACAAAGAAAATCCAGGATGTTCTCCCATCCCAATGATCTTAATTGATCACATTCACTAAGTTCAATTTGCTATGTGAAATAATATATTCACAGGCTCAAAGGATTAGGATGTGGCTGTCTTGTGTGTGGGGGGAAGGTGTCATTATTATGCTGACCACAGACATGTCCTTCTCACTCTCTTCATTAAACTCAACTAGAAAATTCTAACTAGGGCTAAGGAATTCAAAGTACAAAATGAAATGTTTTGTTTTAACAGTTCTGAATTGCTGGGAGGTTCATTTTGCATTTTAAATTTCTAGTTACTAACCCCAGATGGACTTCTGGCTGCCCTGAAATCCTGCAACATTGCTAGTTCATTAGATTCCTTCTTTTCTATTCTTCTTCTCTTTCCTCAAATTTTCAGGCCTTCTTCCCTATCTTTACTTCTAACTGATGAAATGCTTCCTAGTTTACTGGGATGGAAAATCAAAGTACAGTGACATGTCACACAATCTTCCACCATCTTGTAATTCACCGGTACCTGTGCCCGTCTATCTGATATCTATTATTATAGCTCCAGAAAATACAAAACTTTTCACGCGTACTTTGGATTCACTGCTGTAGTCCATTTTGGGAAATCACCTCACTGACATCCCAACCCTCCAGACCACAATTCTCTATGTGTTGAATCCTGATAGCTAATGACTATGCTATATCACCCTTCTGAGCCCTGGAAACGCCAGTCACATGGAAGGAGAGGGCTGGCTGGGTATATATCCATAAAGAAACCTGTATAATTTTTTTTTTTGGATCTGGTCGTGGGGCCTGAACTCTGGGCCTGGGCACTGTCCCTCAGCTCTTCAGCTCAAGGCTAGCACTCTACCACTTGAGCCACAGCACCACTTTCGGCTTTTTTCTTTTTGCTTATGTGGTACTGAGGAATAGAACCCAAGGCCTCATGCATGCAAGGCAAGTGCTCTACCACTGAGCCACCTTCCCAGCCCTGTATAATTATTTTTTTAAGTGACAGCAAACAGAAATGTGAACTTATCTTTCCATTTTCACTTTATCTATTATATCATTGAATATGGTATTATTATATCTTTAGTTCGAGGCCTTGGCTACTATATCTATATCTACATCTATAGTTTATATGTAATGTACATATATAAATTTTCCTGGGAAAATATTTGTGTGAGTAGTCTGACAATGTTTAAAACCTCTACTTGCGCGGCGCGGGGGGGGGGGGGGGGGAAGGGGCGGTTACATAAGATTAAGTGGCCACATTCAACCCAGCGCTACTGTCATAGCACTTGGCACAGGCCACATATTCAAAATATGTCAATAAATGTTCCACAATTATATTAACCTCCCCCCGAAAATAGCTTTGGAAACTCTTGGGGTATGTCCTATTTTTTTTCACCCAGCCACCCAATTCCTTCTGTCCTCCGTAAGTGAGAAAATGTATGTGGAAATCATTACTTCCCATTTTGCTAGAAACTATCCAAAATAACACTTATGATACAAAAGTGTCTTCTAACAGCTTAATAGTGTGAATCTTTCTCTTGAAGGTGCTTGGAACCACACAATCTCAGAAAAATGCAATGAAAATGGAACCTCTAGCAGACAGCCTTTAGAACATTCTGGGAAGATTCTGGGAAGGAGTGGGGAGGGGAGGAGAGGGTGAGAATATTGAAAGGGGCGACATCAATCAAGATATATCATATTCATAAGCTGCTTTGTTAAATGGCAACTCCTGTGTACTACTATTTCAAGATAATAAAAAATAAAATCATTATCATAAAAATTATTCAATGTGCTTTCTAAGAGAAGCCAAAACAGGAAATGATCAAACTATTTGGATTTTTAAAAGCAAAGCTACTAAGCATATCTATTCACTGAAAGCTTATCTGATATACCTTCAATCCAGGTTTTAGAAACTTTTCAAGGTCACAATTCATTTCAATATGAATTGGGTTTGCCAATATCTGCAATTTGTTCACAATGGAAAGAACGTCTACTTTCAAGACAAGGATACAGGGCCCTAGAAGTTAAGGTGCATGAATGACCCTGTGAGCTAATTGTGAGGAAGTGACAGGCTTTCTCTCTGCCCTGCAAGCCAATCAGAAGCAGGTGAGGGAGGAGAGCTGCCCTCGAATGAAACTCACGCAATCTGGCAAGTTTTTACAACTGCCCAAGTGATTTTTTTTCCTAGCCTTCATGCTCGGGGCATCTAGCTATTAGACATTTGCTGTTCCTTCTCTGCTTTCCTTTTAAGTTGCAATCACACTGGTCAGTTCTACCACTGGTAGGCAGATATACTGTATTAGTATAGCAATATATGTGTTCATTCTGCTTTACATTTGCCTTCTGTTACACATTAATACAAAACATAAAGTGTCTTGATGATAGTGACAGTCACAGACTGCTATGGATTTAAATAATTCCAATGCATTCTTCTTATGTTTATGGGAATCAGGATCTGTGTGAAAGTATCAGCTAAGTAGGTGTGCTGTGCTCCAGTGGGACAATGGTGAAGCTCAGCTTATGTGCACCTGGTGAAAAAAAATCATACAAGGGGAGTTACCTGCCAGAAAATGTTCCATTCGGAGTTTGCATGAGACCAAAGGAAACGTTAGCAGAATGGTAAACAGTCTCTTCAAATGTTGATTTTGAAATCAAATAAAGACAGATAGCACTTTTTTCTAACCCTTTAAATTGAACCCTCTAAAAGGTCTTTCCCGCTGCTTACTATGAAGCCATATAGACTGGTTGATATGCATGGATTCCCTGAGTGATAGAGCGAGAATGAGAGTAAGAGCGAGCGAGCGAGAGAGAGAGAGACAGAGAGAGAGAGAGAGAGAGAGAGAGAGAGCACATGTGTGCCAGCATGAGGGATTAAACTCAGAGCCTGAGCACTGTCCTTTAGCACTCAAGGCTAGCACTCTACTATTTGAGTCACAGCTCCATTTCCAGCTTTTTGCTGGTTTCATGGACTTTCTTCCCCAGGCTGGCTTGTGATCCTCAGATCTCAGCCTCCTGAGTAGCTAGGTTAATAGATATAAGCTGCTGATTCCTGGTAAGTTGGTTGTTGTGAAGCTATGGAAACTGTTGAATTATATATGGCTTCCCTTTTCATACCCCAAGTTGACCTTCCTTTTGGCAAATGTGTTAGCTGACATGCAAATTGTCCTGCTTGGCTATGTCTTTCAAAATGGACATAAATGCCAGGCAATGACCAAGAAGCTAGTGTTTCCTTCCTGTGTTATTATGAGGTGTGGGGAGGCCGTACAAAGCGTGCAGTGTTCCCCAGTAGAAAGGCAGACAGGCACATGGGACCTTACCTTTGGGAATGGTGATCTGACAGCTCAGGTCACAGTCCTGCTGTAACTGATAAAAAGCCACTTCCTGAAGCCGGGCCCGTTCCAGCTCTGAGAGACTCTGGATGGGCACTGACCTCAGCCGCACACTTCGGCCTGACATGCTGTTCCAGGTGAAGTCACCCTGAGGGCCAAGGGAAAAACAACAGTTACACAGCTGGCCTGCCTCTCACAAACCTCATCCTCTCTCTTAGTCAACAGTCAAAGCCACGGATTTCCTAGACACTTACAAAAATTAAATTTCATGTAGCTGCCGCATCACATGATCTTTTCTGATGATGCATACATAAATACATAGGCTGAAGAAAACTGCTTAGAAAGTGGCAGCAAAGATTTGACTTCCTCTTTTTTTTAACAGGAACACATAGAACTTTTAAAAATTTTTGCATGGCAGTAACAGGGAAAACTCTGTTTACTGCTCATTGCTGTTGTGCGTATGAGCTATAAAAGCGCAAATGCACTTTCAGAGGCTACTCTGCACCAGAGGCTGGCCCACAACCTTTTGAGCGAATACATACAATGACATGATGAAGGAATCAATATTTTTGCCCAATTTTACATAATATTCAAGGAAGAATAGCACTGTATAAAAAATATGATTTCAGGAACTCCTGTAGGCACCAAATGTTTTATTGAAATAGTTTACTAAACTTATTTTAATAACAATGATATTTTCATATCCTTTACACACATGGTTCTGGGTACTTTGAATCATCTCTAGATTATTTTTAATACTTAACAGAATGTAAACTGCTTATGGAATAACTATATAAAAAGTGCTTGAAAGCTGCTTTTGCTCAAAAGGATTAACTTCTTATCTAGGCCCATGAATGAACTAAAACCTATACCTCCCTGTGTCCATTGGGTATCTAAGTTTCATCGAAGGCATTCACCTTGCAATCATATTGAACTCTCAGAAGAGCAGGACTTATTAATACTATGTTTACAAAGAGGGATAGAGGAAACTACCCTATAGGAAAGGAACATCAGCACCAGCAATAACAACTTCTCAGGAACCCCTCCCAAATTAAAGATGGAAATAATGCTCACACTTGTGACTAGGTCTGCTTAATTATGAATTACTGCCCCCTCCCTAATTCTTTGTCTATTTAAATCTAAACCTCATGACCATGTTCTTAAAATGGCCGAAGTACTATCTATCCATGGCTTCCTGTGCTAGTTAATAAATCTCCTTTTCCTTCCCTTCACCATTACTGGCACTTTACTTGGTATATAGGGCCAAATGGGCAGACTTGACATGTGAGAGCCCAGGAGTTGGGCCTGGGGTCTAAAACTCCAGTGTGCATGACAAGATGGTTCAATATAGATGTTGGTGTGTGTGTGTGTGTGTGTGTGTGTGTGTGTGTATGTGTGTGTGTATATGAATGCACATGCTCGTGCGTGTGCACCTGTTATGAGGCTGAACTCAGAGCCTGGGTGCTGTCTGTGAGCTTTTTGGTTCAAGGCTAACATTCTACCATTTGAGCCACAGCTCCATTTCCATGGTGGTTAATTGAAGATAAGAGTCTGATGGATTTTCCTGTATGGGCTAGGTTCAAACTACAATCCTCAGATCTCAGCCTCCTGAATAGCTAGCATTAGAAATGTGAGCCACCGATGCCCAGCTAGATGTTAACTTTTAATTGGGAGAACTTTTTATTCAAGGTTAGTTTAATCTGTGGATGTGAAATCTAAGTATAAGGAAGGTGAACTGAACCTAAAGCATATACTTACAAAATATATAGTATGTTCTTATTATAATAATATCAAAACTAGAGAAACATATAACGTATATATATATATATATATGTGATATAATGGTAAAGATGATAAAACTGAGCCTTAGTGAGTTTAAATAAGTTTTGTTAAATCATGAGGACACGAACTAAGAAGCTATGGCTTTAAAGTCTACAGCATAATTGTAACTGCTGAGTTTCTATAACACTCTAATGAATTATTTGATCACAATAACTACAGACATATGACCAATGACAATGCTTATTTATGGAGATGTTTGTTAAAATACTGATAGTCAACCCCAAAATTCCCACAATCATATGTTTGAATAACCAAAGTCACATCTCTGCTTCCCACTGAGAATGCTGGGCTCTCTACCCAGGGCACACAGTGAGAAATGGGTGGCCTAAGAAAGAATGGCACAGTCTTCTGAAACCCAGTGTTACTTTACAAAAGAGGGTTTCCTACAAATTACAAGCAGTAGCCACAGTGACCCAGATTTGAAGAATCACCTATCTCTCCATAATTAGAAAAAATGCAGAGCACAGAGAGCTCCCGGCTCATACAGGCAGAGACTCATTGCAGGATCTTGGAACAGTTTGGTTGAAGAAGTCATTCACCTTAAAATTAGGACATTGGAGCCAGATGCCAGGATGGCTCACACCTGTAATCCTAGCTAGTCAGGAAACTGAGATCTGAGGATCATGGTTCAAAGCCAGCCAGGGAAGACAAACCTGTGAGACTCTTATCTCCAATAACCAGCAAAAAGCTGGAAATTGAAGGTGTAGCTCAAAGGGTAGAGTGCTATACTTGAGCGAAAAAGTTAAGGCATAGCATCCAGGGCCTGAATTCAAACCCCAACACACACACACACACACACACACACACACACACACACACACACACACACACACACACACACACACACACACACACACACACACACACACACACACACACACACACACACACACACACACACACACACACACACACACACACACACACACACGGCAAGTCAGAAAAATTGGCCCAGATACTTTACTTTTGCTCATTCTGTTGACAACTTCCTACCTAGAACGTTAATTCTAAAGTGTGTAGCATTATGCTATATTTTCAGCATTTTCCCCTTTCTTTGAGGTTACATTTATTTATTTCTTTCTTCAATAAGTGGAGCTATTATACTCTAGAAGAAGCAGAAATTGGATGTGGGAAGTAAAAAGCACAGAGTATCAAACATTGACAGCTTCTGGGGAAGCAGGCTCAGGAAAAGGGCAGTGGAGGAAAAAGATGTCCAGTTTTAGACAAGAGAGCCAGGCAACATTTGAGCAAGGGCTATGGAAGCCAGGGCCTTGTGTGTGTGTCAGTGGTGACATGTATGAATTTACATCCAGTGGATAATGAAGACTAATAGTGCCCAGGAGTGCTCAGGGAAGATGCTATTGGCAGGGCTGTGGGGAGATGAACAAGTGAGCAAAATGTGTAGAGGGTTGTCTACTCATTCAAACTCAAGTAAGTTCTTCCAGGACCAGCTTATTTTAGATTTCCCCGCTTTGATATCACCACACAAAACACAAGTTTCAGCAGTTCAGAATTGTTTGTACCCTTTACTTGCATCCTCCAAACTTAGGATATCACAAAGTATATTTTCAGTGAATTGTTTTTTCTCTGCAAATGGTAAGTCCCAGATGAGTTTGTGACTTTTAGATAGGAAGGATAGGTACCTAAGGGAGTTGATTGCTGTTGGAAATGTCAAAATGTAACCATATGTCTGTTTTTTGTAGGCATTTAAAAATGTGACCAGCAGTGGGTTTAATTAGCTCTGGCAGGGGATAGTGAATCTTTTTTTTTAATTAAGCTTTTTTTTTTTTTTATTAAGGACAGGATAGTAAAATTTTCAGGTTTTGTGGGTCTCGTGGCTTCTGCTGTAATAACTCAACTCTACCTTTGGAGCACAAAAGTAGCCTTAGGCAATTTATAAGTGAATGAGTTTAGCAAATTTCAATAAAACTTCATTTATAAAAACAGATGATAAGCTGGATTTAACTAGTATAGTATACTATTGCCAATCTCTGAATACAGCTTATGAGGAAGTAAACCAATTTCTACAAGGAATACTTTGCTTTTGTTTATTCTATCTTTCTGATTAATTCACACAGTATATTTAGGAAACATCTCTTACATTTTAAGTACCATAGTAGATTTTGAATTATTGTGATGAAGACACATCCTGGTCTTCAAAGGGTTAACCTTCATATAGGAAGACCACAAGCAGTCTACAACATACACAGATTGTGCTAGTAGAAGTAAACACCAAATTCAGAAGGGGCCATCTGTTTGGAGATCAAGGAAGTCATGATAGAAAAGGTAGTAACACAATGCAGATTTGAAAGGTGAAAGAGAGGGATAAGAGTTTGTCTAGTAGAAATGCAGCCTTGGAGAAAACCAAAGGTACTGTGGCAAGTGAGGTTGAAAGAACAGGCTTAATCAGAACGCTATACAGTGGGAAGGAAGGACCAGCAGGGGTGAAGTGAAGCTAAGTAGAATCCAGGACCTCTAGAGCATTTGCTGTGGACAGTGCCATAGTATATTCGATTTTTGTCTACAGGCAAGGGCTAGTCACTCGAGAACCTTGAGTTAGAGAGGAACATGGTCAGAAATGGGAAATGTGATTAGAAATAAATTTCATAAGGAATTGAAAGAAAGAGCGAGTTAAAGATGCTGACAAGATGCCAGGCTAAGTATGATGTGATTCAAACTTGAATAGACATTTTAATGAGCTACAAAATGCCAGAGTACAAGGGTAGAAAATCAATGTGATGCTATGTGATTCAGGGAAGAGCTAATTCAATATATTCATGCCCACTCATTATCCTTCAAAGAAGCACTGACATAAATACAAAAGGTCAATGCCACCACAAAGTGACAAACAAACACCCACAAAGAGTACCAAAGCCCATCAATACAGCTTAGAAAGTGCTTCTGGCTGTTTCTCAACTCTAAAAATGTGTGTTCTAGGCCAATGTTTTTTCTTTGGTGATTGTTTATCTCAGAATAGATGACTCATTGTATGACTTTCTCAATCCTATTCTTGAGTGGTTGTCATCGGATTTTTTTTTTAAGGATTGAAATGGATGATTCTAAATTTGCTTCAATTTAAAAAACGTAGGTTTTAAATTCTGTTTTGTGGTTTTTGTGGTGTTAGGGATCAAACCCATCCTACTAGGCATACATTCTATCACAGTGACAGCTCCAGCTACATGTAGGTGAAATTGCAACTGGCACCCTGCCTCTGAATAGACGAAAGACCCTGACAATTATAAAAACATCCTCTACCTCTTCAATACAATGTGGCAATATTAATAAAGAGTGGCATGTATGATAAAA